TTTATTCTTAATACTATAGGGTTGTTACAGTCTAATTAATAAAGCGGATTGCTACAATATGAATGGATATGAAAATCAGTAATTTGAATTCGAACCTGCGAACATGTGCTTATTCTACATGAAATGACAAAACAAGACAGGAAAAATTTACAAAAGTGCGACTCACTGAAATCTTAAATTAACAAATAAATAACACAAATTACTTACAGTTTGGACGTCCACAAATATAACACAAATAAAGGGGAAGGGATTGGGAAATGTAACTAGCCGGTATTCTACAAGACGCGATCAATTGAACTCGTGAAACGAACGTGTAATTTTCAAATGGCAGAACTGCGTTGGCCGGTAACGAACTTTTTCACTTTCTGACAATGACACTGATACTAATTTCCAATCGCGGGGCAATTATATCCCTTAGGGATATAGGCTGTACGATTTTAAGGAAAAATAAGATTGCCCGACCAAACGCCGCGAAATGAATTTAATTTCCACGAACGAAGAACAATTTTACCGAACTAGCTACGATGAGATTTGGATAGGAACTGGAACTGCTGGAAGCAAGTGACCATCCGGCTAGACCTTATTCCCCCTCCTACTTTAGTGCGTGGTGCATTCTGGTCTATACTGATCTATTGTTTAAACCAGCTGACTGTTCTTCGCGTTACCCTGTATTGATTTGTTGCCTTTTTACAACAAAATCGGTACACTGCAATCTTAAAATGTAATGGGAAGGGAGGGAAACAGGTCCGCGACGTAGGAAGAGGTGAATGAAGTAGTAAAGGCGAGCAGTTTTGAGTCTGGGAACTGGAAACCAATTGTAACAGTTAGATTTATGTATCTGAAATTGAAATACTGAAACGCTATGAGAGGGGATGGAAACATGTCCAAGACATAGGAAATGGTGAAAGAAGTAGTAAATGCTTTTTAGCAGTGCGGAGTGAGGGAAATGTTTGTGGCAATTAGATAAATGTATTTAAAATATTAAAGTGCTATGGAAAGAGATGACAACAGGTCCACGACGTAGGAAGTAGTAAAGTTTAGCATCGCAGAGTGTGGGAACCGTTTGTGGCAGTTAGATTAATATATCTGTAATACCTAAATGCTATGAGAAGGGAAGGAAACAGGTCCATGACGTAGGAAATGGTGAAGGAAGTAGTAAAGGCTGGCATCGCAGAGTTCGCTCGGTCCCCAGGTACTTATATTTAGTAAATTAATAAGTGTTCAAGTTCAAGTATGTTATAAGGGTAGTTATTTTTAAAAGATTTTTCAAAACAGATTTAACAAAATATTTTATCATATCAAACCAATTGGCCTATGTAAGTTAGCATATTTTGAGAGTCATAAAAATTCTGCTTGAAGAAAACACTTAAAAAAAAAAACACTAAAAAAACAATATTTTAACCTCAAAAGCACTTCTAAACAATGTCTTTGTCACATATACTACGATTTTAGTCTTCAGGAAGATTACCCTCGTCAAAATTTTCCGTAATGAATATGTGTAACCTGTTAAAAGATGTAGCCTTACATAAAACAACACATAATATAGTTGCTCATGACTGAAATTGGTCTGGGTAAGAACAGTACTGCTCTTTAATTAAAGTGTTTAAGTTACTTGGCTTGGTGCTATCATAACTGTAAACTCAAAATGCACCCACAAGTAAAAATTAATAAAGTTATTGGTTAAAAAAACCTATGTTTGTGTAACAACATTACTCACATGAAGTAGGTGATTTGTTTGATTTTTCAATCAGCTGTTTTGTTTCAAATGAATTAATAATGTCAAAGATTTGTGATTTTAAATACATAAATTATTATAGGCTAGTAAAGTTTTCTAAATCATGGTAACTTAAGCCTGGTTTACACGGGTCGAGTCCGGCGGGCGAGTCAGTGTGCGAGTTGCCACTCGCTCTTTAACTCGCATGGTGTAGACATGCAGGCGAGTCGAGCAACGGGCGAGTTGATAAAAATAGGTCAGTTGAGAGCGAGTCGAGTGATTTAGTTGAAAACCGAGTTGCTCGGCCCAGTAGCTACCCCCACCACCACGATGTGCCCGCGAAACATCTGTTTACTGATATAAAGTGGGTCCCAGCGACCACAGAAGTAATTTTTTTTATTTTTTGTGGTCGCTGAGTGAGTCGATCACGATCACACACAACGATGAACGATCAGTATTGAGGTTAGTTCAGTGAGTAGTGTAGGCTTACTCACCCTCAATGCTCAATGGTTTATTTTAACAGTACAAGTGATTTTGTACAAGTTGAACAGTAGGCCTACTGTGTTGCATTGTCTCGTAAATCTACTCTTATAGAATTCAGTTTTCGAAATTGTTGTACAACTTAACATTTACAGTTCTACTGGACCGATTTTATTTATCAATGGGTCGTTAGAAAGCCCACTCTCTAAAAATGTGTTCTATCAGAAATACATTGAAATCAGTGATTTCAAATTTTTTATTTGGAGGCAACTTTTGGCTGCCTTTTTTAAAGAAATGCAGTATAGTAGGTAATTTGTAACAAATCTTATTCTCTTTCAGAATATCACCTTTCACTTTGGTCTATTTCCTTCCGTTTAAAAGTTGTTTGCAAAAAAGCTTTTAAGCAACCTCTGAATTTAAGTGGTGATTCAGTTTTATACATCTTATAATCTAAATCAGTGATTTAATTAAGTTACTGTATGGATTCAGCATTAAACTCTTGAAGGGCCATTTTAAACTCAAACAACAATCAACACGAAAGCTACGGTATACAGAATAAGTTACCCTACACCATAGAGAAATAATAAAAATTACTTCTCTGTGCCTACACTGTCCCTGTTTGAAATAGGAATACGTGTAGACAGTTCAGTCAAGTACTGGGCGAGTTGAACAAATCAACAACTGGGCCGAATAACTCGTCTGACATACTCGACCCGTGTAAACCAGGCTTTATTCTCAACTACATTTTACTATTCCCAGCATTAAAATAAAGTAGTAAGATTCATTATGAGTAAACTTTAAGGTATACAATCCTTGAATGAAATGTAGTATACATTAACAGTCATAATACACAGAAATTATTATGTAGTAGACTTTGACTATGTTCAAGTAACAAACATATGTTTCTGTAAATAAAAATTATCTCCTATGTTATCCTTATGGAGAAATACGAAACTTTAAAAGGCGCCAGGGCCTCACTCTCTAATTATTTTCTTGAAAAGAAAGTTTCCTGCACAATTTCACGTTACGCTCTTTCCAATGACACCAAAAACATGTCAATCGGTTCAGTAGTTTCGGAGGAGTAATTGTCACAAAAAACCTGCTTGCGTATTAAATAAGTATAGATGCTTTTCCGATAACCAAATAGCAAGCTGTGTTAACGCTAAAACTGTATTGCGGGAGTTGGCGCAAAACATGTTGGAAAGTTTAATATAAAAAGTACAACCTGAACTACCTAAAATTTTTTACTCATGAATTTTTTTTGGTTGGTCTGGTGGACACCCTGTAAAAACATTATCACATGTATTTCCACCTAAACTTGCACTTTAGCTTGGCACGGCATCTCCCGAGGCACCGAGGCGTCATCATAGTCTTCCATGATCACGGCAAAATCATGAATACTTCTCGTAGTCATGGAAGAAACATCATCATAGTCTACCGTGATTGCAACCAAACCTATGACATCATCAAATAACAACATCATCGTCTCCCGGATTCACGGCCCAATCCCTAATTTCTCCCACGACTCGTGGTGACAGAGAAATGTTTTTTTCCCCAATCGCGGAAAAAGAAACGTCATTATCCTCTTCCGCAGTAGCGGCAAAATATTTAACATCTCCTGCGGGCGCGGAGACATCGTCATCGTCACGCACGAGAAAATGTTCTCGTCGATATCCTCGATCGCGGCAAAAGCGTAGGCCTAATCATTCAATCTCGTGAGCGTGATCCTCGCGGACAAAAAGCTTTTAGCTTTTTTTTTTTAATTGGGCATTATTGTATCGAGTACTGAGAAAATCTGCTCGAGCTTGATTTTCTGACTTTGTGCTTGATCTTTTAAGATTGTAGGTCAGGCTCTGCTCGGCTCGAAAATCGATGTTATATCAAATCAACAGTTTATAAAGCGAGCCGATTTTGAACTGATCTGATTTGGCCTGAGGCCCATAGGTAAGTAGTATTTTTTACCTGACTCGAAGTAAACAAATCTAAAGTGCGAAGTAAAAAAACCCAAAGTGCAGCCTCCTATAAGTTAGAAATGAAATGAAATGAAAATCCTTCTTAGAATCAATGAAAGAATGGAATTATTTATTAGCTAGTGCCCTACCCACCTAGGTTAATTTGCCGATTTGATCGTAAAAAAAATTGTCAAGTTCATTTAGTTGAATAAGCATAGAGGGCTGCATAGGGCGCTCTTTGGTGTGACCCGCCGGGTGCTAGGAGGATTAAGATTAATGTTTTATCCTCCTAGCCCGGAGGCCACATTGGTTCTAAATACGGCCCAATTATAGCGCCTTAACACAGTCCAAAGGACAGTTAGTTGATGCAACCTGCATGACTGAAGAACATTTTTTTACTTAGGTTGGAAGAGGATTTATATCGATCGGGCAAATAACAGTGGTAGTTTAGCTGTTGTAAACTAATTGTACTATCGCCCTTACTGGTTTTAACAAATTTTTGTCATAAAAAAACATATGATAATTCTCATACAAATATTGTTATGAAAGTGTGGCTGAGCCTGTCGCACAATCGCGGGCCCCTGTCCAGGTAAAATTTCCTGAAAAATCCCGGTCAAGGTTCACGGGCCCTCCTAGCTTACGGGCCCCCCTAGCTTGCGGGCCCCCCTCCTAGCTTGCGGGCCCCCCTAGCTTGCGGGCCCCCCCGCACTGCGGGCCATCGCCGCCACTGAATATGGACAATAAACAGTTTTGATGACAGCACATGCGATTAGGTGGGGTCTAGATTTTTGGGCATTATGGGACTAATTGATAGTCTTTGTCAATATGAAGGATTGCTGAGTGAAATAATAGAATTGTGAAAAAGATTCAACAATTTATATTTTAGGTTTTATATTAAATACTTTATCAGCCCTTCTATGATTCATATTGTTTCTTAAACGCATCCAACTTTTTCTTGTATCTCATAGCAATATATATTTTGGGTGGCTTGATTGTTGTTTCATCAAAGTATGAATTCCATTGTTTCCACTGAGGTCTGTGTCGAGGGTCCAATGTACAATCCTTTGGTTTGAACTTTCCCATTAGCCCTGAAATTGAAGAAATTTATTAAATTATCCTTCATATATTGTAAATCGTTATACCTCTAAAAACCAACTTCAACTAATATCCTTTGCTACAAGGGAAAATCATTATCTAATTATTTTCATGTTCAATTTCACAATTAGAACTTAACAACTTAAAAATATAATTAAACCTTTGGAAAATTGAAGCTGGAATGAAAACGAATAAACAAATAAGAACCAAGTTGCAGATGAACAAATAACTATAATATTAGAGTACCTGCTTTGTGAGCCATTGTAACCATGTACGAAACTCTCTTGTGCTGAACACTACAGAGGCCTGTGATGCGTTTGGGCAACATGGATCCGTTCTGACGGACAAACTGGCTCAAAATCAGGACATCCTGAAAAAGAGAAAACCATCACTTTAGCTTTGATAAACATTAACTTATTGAATAAAAGATTAAACAAAGTACTGCTTCGATTAAAACACTGAGAAGTAAATTAAATATTTTAAAAAAACTAGAAACAATGAGGGAAAAAGAGGAACAAATTAAACATATTGGTGTGCAGATATAGGAAAACAATGACTCATAAACATATCAAATACCACAACATTTAGGCTTTTGTTTCGTTATGATGGAGTAACAACAATCTGTGACATCTATCTATCTATCTATATATATAATACGCTAAGCCGATTTTTGTGAACAGAACTACTCCCTCATTTTTGGACCGATTTTGATGATTTAAGTGTCAAAAAGATTACCCTGATCTGTAGTTTTGCAAAGTGTTTTTCGTTTTTTGATATCTTTATTAGTTTGGTCAGGATCTTCCATCAAAGTTGGGTTTTCTCCCATAAGATTAACATGGAGGAATCTAAATATTTATTGGAAACTTTGTCTCCATTAATTTGAGAGAACGGCTGGGCGTAGAAACATGGTAGAGGTGTCCAAAGAAAGGCCTTGGTCTGTAGATGAGTTATCAAAAGAAAAACGAGGTAAATTCGCTTAGGGCTCTGCCCCAGAAGCCTTTAAAGATCCCTCCACAGATTTGTTTACATTTTGGTCATTTGGATAATTCTTTTTAATGAAACAGCTGTTAATTTTAAAATTGTGTTTTAATTAACACACATTTATTGGGAGTTACTGAATTGTCCAAAAGAAGTATTTGCAATGTTATTTTCTGATTTTTAAATTGATTTTTCTCTGTATCATTTGTGTTGCAATATTAAGTTCCATTACGAGATGAGTGGAAAATCATTTTATCACAATAACTCCTACAATTGTATCTTATTGAACTATCTTATATCTATTTTACGGGTTGGTGTCTGCCTTTTTCACACCTTTTCCCTATATTTTATCATATTATTTTAGACAGTTCATCATGAAATTATTGTCATACATACTTTCAATCATTAGAAAAATCTTCGATTGTGTAATACAATACAAAATAATACAAGTGCAGAAGGGCACGGTGCCCATTTGAGCCGTGTCCATATTTTATTAAATTAATTGTGGTTTACAGCAACTGGATAAAACATTTTACAATATTTATGTAGAAATATGTGCATATTTAGAAAGTAATTAAGCTGGAAAACTGCAATATACTGCGGACTTTTCAGAGAGGTTACTTCGATGTATTCATTCAGCTTAGTGAAAACATAATATAGATATGTGTAAAAATAAGAACTTGAACACTTAGAGAGCCTTTGAATGTTATTAGACTAACGAAAAGGGTTGTGCATGTTTAATAGCGCTACTCAGCAACAAAAACCATTTAATTTATCTCTAAAATATATATTCTTAAAGTGCACTTAGCAGCAACCTAAAAAATCTATGTAACTTACCCATATAATATAGTTACAAAATGCTCAAACTCGCATTGTGACATTTATAATTCGGCTTTACATTTCTCCAACAGAAAATTCATCTACGGAAGAATGTTATTGTGCTCTTACTATGTCATTTGCATTATTTGTTGCCAATGAAGCTGCATGACCATATAAATGAGGAGGCCCCTAACAGTTCAAGAATAAAAGCCAACCTCACTTCAAGTATATTCCACTACACCTAACATTCCGTAGATTATATTGACAACTTTATGTAACTGATAAGGCTGAGAAAACTAACTGACATCCCCCATGTCAAGGAATTCCAGCTATAACAGTAACACCACAACCAATTTCTCAAAACTGTGCTAGAGTGTTATTAATCGGCACAGAAGTACGATATGAACTGACGCGACGTGACGAAGGAAAAATCTAACTTACACTGTAACGGATATACCTCCCTTTGAAGTTAGAACGTGTCTTCCCAACAGACAGATTTTTTGTTCAAATAAAATCATAGATTAATCTGCATTACACTAATGAAATCACGGAAGTGTTTAACTACAAAAAATCCACCAATACGATTTTAATACTATTTAAAGGTTCTTCCAAAGGAAGAGATACCAGATAGCATACTAACAACTACGATGACGTAGCCTACAGTATGGGAAATATTTTATATTTTATTCATTGAATGATCAACCATATTTGGTAACTAACGAAATTAATATCATTATTGTTTTTACACTTATCAATGCCAGGGACATATTTCCGAATAGGCGGACTAGGCGCCCGCCTAGGGCGGCAAATTTTAGGGGCGGCAAAATTTTGAGGGTAAAAAAATAAAAAAACAAAGTTTTAATCTAAAAAAAATGTTAGCGAATAGTTTTGGGAACGGCAAAATAGCCATTTCAAATATTTTGATTAAGTATACAACTATTTCAGAACGCATCCAAGTCAAACAAACGTCAATAGTTTATTACACAGCTGTGTAGAGTTGTCCGTGCTGCCCTATTGGTCTGGCGGACACGCTCGCCGCGGGAGCGGGTCGCCGTACCGGCCGCTATGTCTAGTGACAAACCTAGAAAACACTCCCTTCTGTTGACTTCATACACCACTACGCAGTGGCAGCACTATAGCTGAAAGATTCTTTTGCTAGGTTAAAATCAAGAAGGAAAGTGTGAACTAAATACTTACCACTGTACCAAACTTAACTAATTTAAAATTGTATATTATTATTTTAGTAAAACTTTGCGATTCATGTGTTTTTGTAAGAAAAAAATAGTTTAAGAAAACATATTTCTTTCATTTCAAATCAAAGCCAATAGCACGTCTCTCAAGTGGATCTGACTAATAGTGTTCAATGAAAAGCGTTATAAGAACCATTGTATACAGACGATTTTGTGTGCCGTTTAAAGCCGCAAAATGGGATTGTAAAAATACTGATTAGATAAAAAAATGGTGCATTCCGTGTAGGCCTATCCAAGTCAGAATGTTTTGCAAAAAAACGGCACAAAAAACGTCCGTTAAAAGGGGTCGAAATAGTATATTTCGTACCTAGGGCCGAAAATGAGGTTTTGCCGGCTCGAGATAGTTTTTAGGTTCGAGACAAAGTCAACCTAAAACGATCGAGAGCTGCAAAACCATTTCGGTCCGTGGTACGAACGCCATTTTCCACCACACTATACCTTAATAGCACTATTCACCACAATAATGATGCACACTGATAGTCAACACAACTAGAACTTTAAGGCTATGTGAAGAAATAATTTGAGGAATCAGCAAAAATTAAAATAAATAGTTGCTAGGCAGCGGTGACAATAAAACAATTCTATTGCAATGCTATGGATACTGATTGTGTATTTAATATGCATTCATGTTTAAAAAAGTAAGCGATCAGCTGATTTTGCGGCCCTAGGGATGTAAGAACCTGCTCGGTCCCCAAATGACGATGACAGCTGGCATGGCCAGCAAAACGTAACTTTCAGCCACCAATTAACGCATGTAAAACAGCTAAAAACATCATAGTGTGGTGAAAAGTTATTAATTTGTTGATGCAGCATGCAATATTACCGATTATTTTCCCACAAAACCAGCTGACAGGGCATGTATTGGCCATTGGGGTGATATTAGTGAGGTCGGGGAGTGCGTTGAAAAGAGGGAGCGGGAGGGGCGGCGGCAAACTTTGTTGCCTAGAGGCGGCAGATACTTAAATACGTCCCTGATCAATGCTAAATGCTCAAAATATGTATTATTTCACTCAATTTATCGCAGTTAGATGAATTAGCGTAAGCCTCGAAAGTAACCGTCGATTTCGACGGGTTTCACCTAGTTGTAAATAAAGTGTCTAAGCAATCTGACAGATAGGCCTTTTTTCTCACATTAGCTTATGTATACAACCTTTGTCATGCCACTGCATGATGAAGGTTGTGACTTTGATATTTTATAGGGAAAATCACATGTTGCAATAACTTTTGAACCATCATTTTTACGATTACCTAGGATTGCTGCTACAGGGAGGCTAATAAAGTGTGTTTTTAGTTATATAGGCCTATTAATAGCTTCAGTATAAAATAAATAAATTTACCAAGTTTGATCAAAGCAAAATATATCCATAAACAAACAAACAACAACATGTTACAATATTCTCCATAAAAATAACATAGAAATTTTTAATTTACATTTTATTTTTATTTTATCTGCAACCAATAATTATTGTACAATAACACTGTAATATAGGTACTAAAATATTTGTTTTTGTAAGCTCTTTAAAATGGTCTAGAGAGAAATAGGGAAATTTGATGTTTTGATGGTCAAAAATGAGAAAATAGTTATTTGTGCAACTAGTGAGCAAAGTGAGCAATTGACTCACTCGAGAGAAATACTTACTCACGAGCTGTAGGCGAGTGAGGAATGGTTTCTCGAGTGAGGCAATTGCACTTTGCACTCAAGTTGCACATTATATTTTTCCTAGAGATACCATAAAACAAATAAATTGATAAAGAAACACAACATATTTTTACACAGAAATGAACTTTTAATATGACATTTAATGATACAACAGTACAACACAGCTGACCAGCTGATTTACAGCCAGTGCTGCCAACGTATTTCGCGCGCATACGACCTTGTGTCTGCATGTTACGCGCTCACTATTTTGTGCCTTCACGTTGCAAATCTGGAGTGAGACAAAGTAATTAGAGTGAGACAATGTTAACATTGTCTCACTGGAGCGAATTGGCCACTTTGCTTTCTCAAATCAGTGAGAGAACATGTTCATTGTTAGGTAACTGTAGGAAAACCAATTTTTAATCTAAAACCCCGTTACCATGGTCTGATTATGCTGATGATTAAATGGTTCGCGAACTCATTCAAGTTTATCCTGCCTTACATCTTCAAACCAGATTTCATCAAAATCGGGCAAAAATTATTCAAGTTATCGCATTCACAGACATATATATATATATATATACATATGTATATAAATCTACGAGAATATATATAACATTTTGAACAAATGGTGTTTTTGGTCTCTGGTGACATCAAAATGAAAAGACCTACGGTAATAGCTAC